GGCTTATCCTTGTAGTCGGGTTGGTCTTTGAACACGACGACCGCAATCTTGCGCGCGAAGTCGAGGGGTTTGAGCCCGCCAGAGTTGGCAACCTCGCCGCACTTGTCGAGACCGAAGGCCTGGCAATACGAGGCGTGGGTCATGAGCTCGCCGACAACGCGGTCGGTCAAGAATTTCTTATCCTGGTCGGCCCACCTACGAAGGTGTAAGTTCCATATCAGTAGACGTGTATCTCGAGTCACATACCTCACAGTGACCAGAGGACAGGCCACCGCAAGCGTGGCATAGACGGGGCATTTATGCCAAGTATGACACATAATCTAAGTCAGTTTCCGCCAATCCTACAACTGCTCATCTGGCCTTTCACACAAGTGGACAGCACCTCTGACCTTGTCGGATATTATGGGGACAGAGTCTATGAAGGGCAGTACCGACGGCCATGGACTTAGCTGCTAGCTTGAGCGAGACTTCATCTCTGTCTCTAAGGGAGTGAGCAGTGTGGCGACATGACCGGTTGGTCCAGAGTGTAATAGAGAAAGCATGGAAGGCCAGTAATGCCTGGCATACACTGTCGAGGCCATGGAGTTAGGTCTTAGCATGAGTGGCACTTGATCTCTGTTCTCATAACTTTGAGTTAGGGATAATCGAGACCAGGTTTTCTTAGCACAACACAAGTCAGATGATTTCTGTCTATACATGGGAGTCCTCAAACAATAACACCATAATTTGAGAAGCATTTTTAAAGATCGTTAGCTCAGTGGTCAAGTTTTGGATCGGGTTACCAGAGAGAACCGGGGTTCGAATCCCGCTCTAGTTCTGGGCTATAAATTTGCGGCTCGGTCCAACGCGCCCAAGTCATTACAAGACTCAAACACGCAGTGTCATTCTCGTACTGTGACTATTTAAAATAATCGTACCGGGATGGCAATAAAACGTACATACACAAGAAACAGGCACTCCCGTATCACTACTGCTCCTGCACGCGGCCCGTGCGGACCGCCCTCGAACCACAGTTCCTCATCTGATTTGTTTGTACGTCCTGAAATCCTTAAGCACTGCGAACTCGGTCAGTGCAACTAGAAGCGGCATTTCCAAGTGACGATAGCGCGCCACGTTCTTGGTCGTGCTCAGCACGCCGTCAAGGATGAGAGTTACGGAGTCCCTGCGCCCGCCCCGCGTATCCAGACAGTGCCATATATCCGATAGATCCTCATTATTCGTTCCAGAAGGAAAAGATGCGATGATTGTCGAGATGGGAGCGTCAGGGGGGAGGTCGTCGAGAAAGCGAATGTTCCGTCTGTCGGACAGCGTCACGCTGCGCAAGCCGCGTAACTCGCGCAATAAATCGGTAGGGCGAACGTCGTGGTCACAGTACTTATCTTCGGGATTGGAGATTGTGAGAGCCTTGATGTCTCTGCACGGTAGCATAGATGCGACGTCCATCCACGACCATGAATTGTCGTAGCTCCCCATGCGCATGATAACAGCAAACGCCTTACGAGGACGCATGCACAAAGAGAAGAAATCGGCGCCGCGCAATATTCGTGCACGATGGCGCTGAAGTTCACAATCATATTGAATCTCGAGAGAGTCGAGCGCGTCTAGCGAGTAGCCGAAGCGGGTAAAAGACAGCTCCATAGCGTTGGCTATGTCGGATGCCGAGCGCACGTCGATCACTACTGACGACGACGTCGTGACGGTGAAGTACGCGTGAATTATCGTTAGAAGGGCCTCGTCGAGGCTTTCGATGTGTAGCTCGCGCAGCTCAGTGCGTTTGCGCCCAGTATAATCTGATGTGTGATCGAGGCCTCGTGTGTCGATGCAGCGCCTTAGTCGGACAATTGCAAGACGCTGACACGAGTCGAACAAGTACTGCAACTTGTCCACGGATAGCGGGCAATCGTCCATATCTTCGGCGTCAGATCTCATAGATAGCTCCGTGAGACGCGGCGCGCAAATTTTCCCGCAAATGGGGGTTTCCTTTGGGATATACATATCGAGGACACTAAGATTGGCGAGAGAGACGGATGACAGACAGCTTGCGATGACAGCCGAGTACCCGTTATAGATGTTCTGGCGATAATTTGCGACGATCGCGTACGCTTTGCTCCAGAGCTCGTGTGCCATGACTGTGGCGATTAGGTCGGACGTCAGCCTCTTGCCATTCGCGTTGTCATACAGAAGACATAAGTCAACCCATAGGGGGGCTTGCCCAGCCTTCTGCAAGAAAACGTTGAAGACGTCGATGTTGCAGAATGACGTTAGCCACAGAGCCCAGATGATACTTGAGCCGTGTAAAGTTGTACGCCACGAGCGACAGACCTGTCCCGCTGAGACCCATCCGATCTCTCTGCTACTGTGTGCGCGATTGTACTTTCCGGCCGGCCATATCGCGGCCAAGTACAAGAAGATATTAAGCATCGTTTCGTCTGGGATACGCTGAATAGTGGCCTACAACTAACCCTCAACCTATGCAGTAGTACTTTAATCGAACACCTACCATGTTCTCGTGTGAGGGCAGATGGAAGTTCAGAACAAGGTTGCATCAGCGCGCTCAAGTGCGCTCTCGAGCGCTTATCAGCTGTTCAAAAAATGGGGTCATTCACACGGTCTCAGCACGTGTCCTCAATTTCTACGTCACTCGTGCTACACTGGCTGCACGAACTACATTTCTGTTAAACTTCAACACCCTATCTTATTCAAGATGCCATTTCAAAACAGACCGTATTTGTAAGAGCGATGTCAGAAAACGACGCGTGTCACGTGCAGTCGGCCGCGAGACGGTCTCGCGACCGACCATTTCCGTAGACGGCTAAGCATGATACACGCGAGATGAGTGGGTCTTCTCGAGCACTCGGTGGTCTTCAACAGTGACAAACACCTCAAGAGCACTAATGACGGGGGCTTCAATGCGGCGGTATCGCTCGATGTCGTCCGCCGTCAGTAATCTGCCCGTCAGCAGAAGCCGGACAGTTCTATCCTTCTTCCCTCGACGTTGTAACCAGTGCCATATGTCTGCGAGATCCTCGTTGTCTGCCGCAGTATCCATGTCAACGACGATCGTAGATATCGGCGACGTGAGGGGAATGGCGTTGAGGAGATCCACGTGCTGACGATCTGACACTGTAACAGTGTCTATGCACTGTAGCTGGTTTAGAAGTTCTCCAGGCCGTTCGACGGTTTGAGATTCAAGATCGGCTGGATTCCGAAGCGTAAGTGATGTGATATTCGAACAGGGGAATATATCGATGAAGCTCCTCCACGACCACGTTTGTTGTCCTTCATCCATGCGTAAGATGACGACGAAGTCGTCCCGGATATGCAGTCGTATAGCAAAAAAGTACGACCGAAATAGGTCGTCCCGGCCCTCTCCACGAGCGTGCTCGTCGTCAAAGTGAATGCCCATGCATTTCACCAGGCTGCGATTGAGACCAAAGTCTTCAAAGCATAGATTCATAGCGCCCGACAGTTGCGAAACGGAGTATAGGTCGATAGACACCGACGACGAAGAGTCAACGATAAAGAAGTGATGAATGACATGAAGCAGCCTTTCGTCCATGCATCCGACGTCAAGCACCGAGAGCAGGCGACGATCGCGCCCGCCGGGAGGGAAGACATGTATTGGCGTCGTGTCCACGCAGCGGCGCAGGGAAATGAAGCGAAGAATTGTGGAAGTCTCAAAAAGTGCCATCAAGATCCGTACGGGTACTGGGCACTGTGATGTCACCGCTGCGTCTGAGCGTATGGTTATTGATGTTAAGGCCGGGGCGACTATTTCTCTGTCCAAGCGGAACTGTCGGGGAAGAAAGATGTCCACAGTATGTACGTTGAGGAGGGCAAAGGAGGTGAGCCTCTGGGGAAGTAGCGGGGTGAAGGCTAGGTGACCACGGTTGCCGGCGTTGGTTATGATGCCTCGAGCCCTTCTCCAGAGGTCTGGGTCCATCACGGCGTCCAACACTTCACGCGCGATCCCCCTGTCAATGGAGTTTCTATGCATGATGTTCATATCGAGCCACAGCCCAGCCGGGCCTGCTCTTTCCACGAATACCCGCAGCGCGTCAGTATTGCAGAAGGACGTCGCCCATAACGACCATATCGTCCGCGAACCGAGCAAGACCGACCGCCACCGATGACAGACGTGGCCAGCTAGTACCCATCCGAGATCAACAGTCTCGCTTCCCGGTCTGTACTTTCCGGCCGGCCATGCTACGGCCAGGAAAAGGAAGATGTCCAGGAGGCAGTCCTGCGGCAGATTTTGGATGGAAGCCTGTTGCACGACATTAGCAGCGCACAGCGCAATGACACAAAGAGCGCACCATATTGTCAAGGTCTAAGACTAGAAGTTTCGTATCCCTCAATTGTAGTCCGCTCACTCAGACGGAGGTCGAGACGAAAGGCGGGCAAGTGCAACGAAACGATGTTCACGCGACCGCGTCTCTCCCACGACTCAAATGGGTCACGTGGAGAAATTATCGTAAGTTCTGATGCCCGGCATCCGACCGTCATCAACATTGCATTACAACCAATGAAGTGCCTAATACGGTAGATTACTGCTCATAAGTACCGTACGCTTGTCTGTCACAGTGCAGAGCGCTCCAAGCGCAGCGAGAACAGGAGCTTCGTCATATTCATGCTGCTGCATTGAAACTTCGAAGTCCAAGAAGATCTTCCCTTGTAGAACCACGTCAATCGTCTCCCGAGGACGGTTCATCTTCCGAACAAAATGCCAGGCGTGGATGAGGTCGGAGAGACCTGCGTTCTTCAGGCGAATGTTGCTCAGTTGGCCAGCGTCGGGCAAAGCCTGGACGATTTCGAAGTGAGACTCGTGCTCGAGGGATAGACTGCGCAAGCCCGAGAGGCTTTCGATGAAGGGCTTAGGAGTGTCTGTGACATCCTCGTCGGGATTCTCGTACACGGAATCCCTGAGACGGAGCGACGTGACAGTGTCGCATGCGTAGGAGTTCGTAAACTCAGTCCAAGTCCAGGACGGGTCCAGGAGGTCCTTGCGCCAAGTCACGGTATGCACGTCATTGAAAGAAAGCCGAAGCGCGTAAAAGTCCGAAGTGAACGAGCGGCCGATGCCATCCAAGGCATGTGGCCTCTCCCGTCTTCGTGAGATGTACGCTGCAGCCGATCGTGTGGAGGCTGGAAGCAGAGAGTCGCAAAGCTCGATGGAGTATTGAAGATCTTTCACCCCGTAAAGATCAACGCTGGAGTGTGCGCCCGTGGTCAATTCGCAATGGCAGAAGATAAGAGCCAGCAGGTCCTCGTCGAATGACCCGATGTCGAGCATCTTGATACCGACGCGTTTGGTCTCGCGTTTCAATATACGACGTCCATCGAATGCCGTGTCCACTGCACGATGGAGGTATATGTGCACTAAGCTCTCTGTTTGGGACAGAAAATGTGATAGAGTCTCGTAAGGCATCGGGCACTGAAGCATCTTCGCAGCGTCTGAGCTTAGTCGCAACGTCTGCAAACGTGGCGCTGCGAAGGCGGTAATGCGTGATCCTCGGGGTATGAAGGCGTTGATTTCAACGAGGTTTGATAGATGTGTAGTAGAGAGCACCCTGCACGCAGTTGTGTAGGTGGAGATAGGCATGTGCCGGCGGTAGCGAGCGCTGCGAACGACGTCCAGGTTGATACGATAAGCCCTTGACCACATCTCATTTCGAAGTACGTGTCCAGACACGTTGAAGTCTGGAGTTCGGTGTATTGCATTCTCAAAGAGAACGTCAAGGTCTATGTTCAGAGGCGCGTTTCTCGACCTCCTGGCGAACTCAGCAATAACCTGAAGATCGTAGAAGTCCGTGACGTCTGTCCAGAGCGTAGCGCTTCCGAGAAGTACGCGACGCCAGCCTTGGCACACGTGGCCTGCCACAATCCACCCCAGCCCCAGACGCTTGACGGCTGTGTAGTAGCGACCCGCAGGGGATACCGACTTGAGAGAGATGAAGATGAGGAGTAAAACATCGTCTGGTAACGCACACACTGAAGCCTATGTATGTCAAGTTCAGATGTCGCGTGTTTGTAGCGGCACTTGGATTTCACGCACCATCCGGGCTATTACTCTCTCCGTCAGAGAGGCAAGAAGGGAAATTCGTAGTGCTTGTATTAAGGAGAAAGGAAAGAGGGACGAGTGCAGCTCAGGGCGCTATCAGGCGCCTATGACGCCATGTCTCAGATGTGGTTCGATCTCTTGCCGGTGCTGGGAGCAGCGCCACCAGTCTTCTTCGTTGATCTCTACTCTCATCTCGACCCCTCACCAATACTCGTATTACCAAAGTCGAATATCACCTCTGTCAGGAAGAACGAAGAGGGCCATGTCTGGTACGGGTGAAACTATTGAATCCATCGAGCCGCACTCATTCCTGGTCAAGATGAGAGGAACGTGGCAGTCTCCGTTACCTCGCTGCCGCACGAGCTCATCGCAAAAATTGCCGTGTTGTCTATTCAATCTCACCTATCTATTGAGACGAGGCCTGTGCCGCAAGATGGTTGGCCAATGAAGCTCAGAAACGTGTGCCGAGTATGGACGACGTCCCTATCGCGCTGCCCGCAATACTGGGCCGCTGTCCTCGCGTTCGCGGCCGATCTGGAGGGATGGAATGAGATCTTGTCTCGAACGGGCGTCATTCCCATATCTATGGCAACTACAAAAAGAGTCCCTTCTAAAGTCCAAGCAGCCCAAATCGGACGAGCCTCGGATTTATACATCAACCGCGAGGACTCTCAGACCAGGTGGAACGACGTAATCACGCAAGCGGGCGAACTGCCGAGCCTGAGGTCCTTACATCTTTCGCGGCAATTCTTCCAGCAAACGCCTTCCTCACGTCTTGTCGTCAAGGCGCCTAATCTCGAGCATCTATGCGTCGACTGCTATGCCACAGTCAGCGCCCCGGCGTTGCGCTCGATCAAGTTTACGAACATTCCGCCTAACTTCCCACAACTTCTGAAGGCTACCCTGAACTCTTGCTCAGAGCTCGAGGACGTTGATATAGTGGCACCCGAGTGCAACTCCGTCATGACCTGGAAAGGCACATATGCTTGCTTGCCTGACTCGAAGATCCAGTCGCTTAACTTGACCTTCTGTGGATGGAATGCATTCCCAAGACTGTCAGCAATCGTTCTTCCGCATCTCGCACGCCTCACCACGAACGTCCCCGCCCGGATCATTTCATCTGTCTTGACCGATCTTTCAGTGGAGGGAGAGATACAGGACGTCCTCGTTATGCTGCGTGGCATGCTAGCGCTCGAGACTCTTCATATAGGAAGTCGGACGTTCACAAAGGCGCTCAGGGAAGTCACGCACCTCATCGTACTGCCTCGTTGTCACACCATCCATTACCGGGGATTGCTCGACGCATGCCTTGTTAAGCTTTTGGAAAACGTCACAGTACCTCGCTTGTCATACCTTCAGCTTCACTCGGATATGGACGCGCTGCGCAACGGCGGATCGTACGGCGCCGCAATAGAAGGACATGGCCCTTCGCCTGGAGTGGGTTTCGAAGCCCACGTGCGCGACCTCGGCAAGATCTCTTCCTCCCTGCAAACCATTGCCTCAGCGCCCGCTCACCTATCCATAACTTGCAAACGCGACTCTCCAGCGTCATTCACAGAGTTCCAGTTCGCAGTTCAAGATGCATTCGCAAAGGCGCAGGCGAAGCCGGGCTTGTGCGTGAGCGCGACAACTGTTGAGGGCGCCCACGATCAACCTCGCTCTGTCTTTTCGCATATGCTCCAACTATGCGCGTGGGGGTCAATAGCCACCGTGGAGCTATCGCTTCTTCCTCCTACGCCAGCTGCGGAAGGATATCTATGCACCGATCCCTTACACGCTGAGGATGAAGGCAACCGCGCTCTTCTCGCACAAAACTTGATGCGCATGACTGGTGTTCAAAGCCTGACGGTAAATCTGGCAAAGGCCACCTCGGATCAAGGACTGGCACTACTGCGTTCCCTAAGTGGCTTACAAGGCGCGTGGCCGCGTTTGGAGCGCGTCTGCATCCGGCGCCCGCACGAGGAGTGCACGTCTCTGGTGCACGACAGTAATTCGAGAAGCCAGTGGTTGGATGAGCTGCATATACTCGTTAGAAGAAGGCAGGTGGTGTGCTTTGCGGACAACGGCGAAACGGTCGAGGTGACGCTGCAGTGTCAATTATTCGGGAAGGGTATCAAGTCCTGATCACAGCGGCCCGGAAGCCGGGTCACGTGCTCGTCGGCCGCGAGACGCTCTCGCGACCGCCGATCATGCGCGGGCCGAGTAGACGAAAATCTGCGCTTGTCTTCCGTTAAGAGTCAAACAGGTGTCCTTTATGTCTTTGAAGTAACCCTCGTAAACTGCGTTTTGCTGAGAAAGTCCATCATACGTATAAACCGTACCGCGAGGCGAGATAATTCGACTGGTGAAATGAAAATTACCGCCATACATAATGCCCCTCAAATGATATAGCCTACCACCGACGGTCATGGTAGCTGAGACTGATCTCTTTATTCCCTCAGTTTGAATCGCGACGATAGGAATGGATTGCGGAAGGATCGGGTCACTAATGCGATACCTTCCACCGCACTGACATTCCCTCCTCGTGCCCAATACTCTCTCGAAGGACCTCGTCAGGGAAGAGCATCCATCATCTGGAAAGATTCCCCATAGAGCGCTTCTTGGTCCTGGACGGGTCACAACTCGTTTACAAGTCCGACAGGAGAGCCGGATGGGCGGCGTGTCTTGGACAATGGCAAACAACTTCTCGCATACGTCTCCTAGGTAATTTCCCTCAAATCCGAATGTCCGACTATCTTGCCGTATTAGCTCGTCCCTCAGACCATCACGGGCTTGATTTAATAATTCCCAGTTGGCGGACCTTGCTGCTTCCGTAAATGAAGCTATCAGCTGCGGCCATAGTTCATTCATCTGAGAAAGATAGTTCAGATTTGTTTCGCGCATATCTCTAGCAATTCCATACGCCACAGCTAGAGCAGCGTCAAAAGCGCATGAGTTTCTGCTCCATCTTGGTCCGTAATAATCACTGTTGAAACTCTGCCGTACTCTAGACATGGCTTTCGCCACGGGTCCGGAATGCGCTCCAGCATGCTCAGTCTTCTGTTTTTTGGGTGGTGTAGAAATGACGATTTCTTCTGCCTTCCTCTTTTTCCCTTGAGTTGCATGCGGCTGAGAACTCTCCTCAATACGGTCCGGAACATCGTGATGCACCGGCTCAGCACTTACATCGTTCGTTTCATCTTGTGGAGACTCATCATCACCGGTCACCTGTGTGACCGAGTACTTCCACTTCGCATTATCAGGAGTAGGCTGGAATCTTTCTCCTTTCTCCCATCGTATCGATTGGTGAACGTCTTGGGGCGCAGCAGGGGTCTTGTATACCATCTGGTAAGATTTTATGAGCTGCTCTCTGGTCGTCCCCTTTACCCTTGGGTCCAGGTTGTTCTCACATCGGCGGCGTGTTATCTCGTTCAGTAGCTCAAGTTCCCTGAACTCTTGTCTCAAACCATCGCGAAGACTCCCGCGCAGGTGCCTCATTTCTGGCATACGTATGATGACCGTTCCGTCATAAGTTGAAGAGCGAGATAGAGCAGTATACACGGAGTGATATGACCTGCAGTGCTGCAAATCAACTACGTTTACGGGTCGCGTGCGCCCTTGTGACGCATAGTCTGTCATCGCAAAGTTGGGCAAAATTGGCACTTGTTGCCTTGTGATGGGAACGCCCTTGCCGCTTGGCAACTTAACGGTAATGCTTTGCGTCTGAGGAGAGATTGGAACCACGTTAGGTGGAAGACCTTCGAGTTGTACTGGCCTCTTGGGATTGAGTAACTCGACGAACAGAGTGTCCAAACTTTGTTTCCCATCCCCAATGTCTCTACTCTTCCAACCCGCTACCTTGCCTTCTGCTCCATTGGTGATGCATAACTCCGTAGCAACATTGTTTCTGACAAGTACTGGCATGTCAACGCATAGTCGTAGGACACCGGGAATTTGCTGTGACAGATTTGGCGATATAGACCAGAGTGCTTGTTGCAAGATGGGAATAGGCTTTCCAGCGGCTCCTGCAACCTTTTTGCTCGTCTTCCGTTTCTTACCGAGTTTGTTGGTAGTTGTAGATACGCTACGAAGTATGTCGGTTGAGTAGAACTCTTTTAGCTGCTGACCTGTATCCTGTGCGAAAGCCCGACATCCGATATCGTTAACTTCATCCCTGCAATGGTTTCTGCTGGTGATTAAAGACGCGTGTCTAAAGCGATCGTCGCTGAGATTGATATTGCGATTAAAGGAGCCAGCCACTCTTGATCTCAGTACATCTATATCCTCCGGGGTGCATGCATTGTAACGCAAATTCTCAAGCACCCTGCGATAACTGCGATCTTCGTCACTCTGTCCTCGATGTCGCATGTTCTGTTTCAATATGACCACATCCGTCACCTGATGCCACAGAGCACGCCCAATACACGCCTTTTGGTTCTTCAATGCCTGGTTCTGATTTACAGTTGACGACACATCTATATCAAAAAGGGTTTTTCCGTCAATCGGAGGAAGTTGGGCAAAGTCGCCTGCCCAGATCATACTCTTGCCTCCAAAGGGAATATAGGTAAGCTTGAACGCGTTGGACATCTGCTGGCTTATGTTGTGCAATCCCTCGCAGTTTATCATGGAGGTTTCGTCCATAAACACGTACTCTACCCGCTTCAGCCTGTCACGAATGGCATTGATCGCTTTTCTTCCAGTGTTCATTCTCCCGCTCTGGCCCTCTTCTCCTCCGCCATTAAATGCGAGCACGGAGTGGTATGTCTGTCCACCGACAAGCGATGCTGCTGTACCGGTTGGCGCAATGATTAAAAAAATGTGCCCTCTTCCACTCAGCTTAAAGAAAGATATCAACGAATCAATCACACGCGACTTGCCAGTCCCACCCATTCCGCCTAGGTGCATAGCCAAAGGTTTCTTGACCTTTAGAAGTGAGTGATTAGCCACCAGCCGAAAAGCCCGCTCTTGCTCAGCATTGAGGCTAAAGTTTTTGACCACGGAATCCATGCGTTCGCGGTCCTCAGGTGTTGCGTCTTCACAGTATCGAGAAAAGTACGACTTATGCATCACTTGAACATCATCAACAGCTTCTAGTTCCATGTAAGAAAGAGGATTTTGAGGAGCAGCGACGTCGATCTCTTCCATGCGGACATTTCGCTCATTTATTTCCTTTTCTTTCTCCCTGTCCAGGAGCTTAGACCATTCTTTAGCAGTAGCCTCGGAACCTTCAATTGGATCCCGGCTTGCGTGCATCTGGGAGGACGAGGATACTCTATTCCACTCGGACGATAGAAGGGCCCTATTCATCTGGCGTTTTAAGTCCTCCACTTTCGAAGACGAATCCGATTTCATTGTCAGCAGATCCATCAAATAATCAGGAGGCTCGTAATCGGCTGCTGTCTCATCTTCTTTATGTCTCTTGTCGCTCTGATCAGCAAATTGCCCGTGCATAAAGAAGGGTGAATCATCATCACCCTTCTTTCGGGACTGTCTATAATCGTCTCGAGCATCTAGGCACTCGTACCTGATTTTACAAAACTTCCGGACAAGGTTATGTTGATCTTTGAACTTGAAGTTTTCAAATGAGTCTTTCCATGCTTCATGCTCTCCCTTCAAATCCTTTCCCGTTCTCCAAGGCTTGAACAACGTCAACATAGAGATGTAATAATCCTCAACATTTCCTTGGTCCTCTCGAGGCAAAAGCCCACCTAAAAAGAGAGGAATTCGACTTTTTGACTGATGCAGAAGAGATACTGTGTGAGTTTCTCTCTGCGGATGGCCTTTGAGAAATCTATCCGATGAAGCTCTTTCTTTATGCATCGAGATGTCGTCCACGTCGCTTTCTGCGCCAGACGGTTCGAATTCCGAGTCGCTATCCATGCAAAATTCTTGTTCATCACAGTCTTCACCCTCTGCTTCTTCAACGACATCTCGGTCAGCAACTTGATCAGCTTCCTCATCAACGTGTTCATTGTTCTGAGCATCTGAGCGTGGCCTTTTTTTACTTGCCGACTTGGACTTATTGCTCCGCTCGATCCATTCATACAGAGTAATATCTTCGAATCTTTTGGGGCGAAAGGTATAATCTTGAATGTTGGAGTAAGGCTTTATTTTTCCGTCTTTGCCAGCAGTCAAGATAACACGCGCTTCGTCGCGCGCATCATCCACAGTCGAATCATGACCCCAGGATGTCTTCACCTCCCAAACGTAGGGGCGCCAGTGAAAGGGCTTGTAGGAGAAATTGGTGTAGTGATCGGGAAGACCCAACAAATAAGCAGAAGCCATTGGCGCGCCAATTTCTTGCTTAACAGTCAAAGCATTGGTAATCTGCACCATGAGCTTCTGGGCTTTCTCTTCTTGAGTAGCATCTCCGCCTAGAAATTCACTGTTGCGAATCACTACTGCGCGTACTACTTCAAACATAGTATGCGTTCGAAGCGGGTTTTTTGTTATGTAGTCTGTGACGTACGCAATAACAGCTTTAAGCGCTGTGCCAGATAACAGGCTTGTTACATCAGAATTACACCGCATAAGATACGTTAGGACGGGATTGAACGTATTCAAAGTCGGTTCTCCGTGCTTCATCTCTAGATGGCCTGTATCAGGATCTACATTGGTTTCGGGAACAATCTTCCGAGGGAAACGGGATTTGCATTTCGGATACTTTTTTGATGTACAACCTGCATGACACTCATCGTGCCGATTGACCCTCCACAAGAGCTCGTCTGTCTCTGCGATCATGCCAGAAAGCCATTCAGACTTGCTTTCACATTCCATACAGGAACCGCAGCGAGCAGAGCAAGGTTCAGGGGGGGGTTTCGGGAGAGCATACGTCGCATCCCGAAAGCCATCTTCTCGTGGCGCGCCAGCACATTCAGCGATTGAAGACGAATCTGAGTGCAGGTAAGAGCCTTCATGGCAAGATTCTAGATAAGATATAAGCTCCTGCTGGAACGGTCCTTTATCATCTTCAAGCTTGTCTCGGATCTCTTGAGGTGTCATGGCATTCTTTATCCAGAGTAGCAGATGTAGATGAAGACGAAGCCTACCCTGCTCTTCTATAGTCCCGTAATAACCCTCGCAATCTCCAAATAGACCCGGACCATCGCCTTCACATCCCAATATATGTTTGATAAATGCTCTCA